ACTTTACAATAAGATAAATTCCAAACAAGATAAAGATTTATAGATAGATAAAGTCATAAAAATATTAAAAACATGGGATAATGCTTGTGTGGCGTTATAGAGAAAAACACCTTTCACATGACTCAAAATTCAGAAGCCACTAAAGAGAAAAATGCTACTATATAAATATGAAGAACCTCTGTATGGCAAACAAAATCTTGAACAAAATGAAAAAAAAAAAAAAAACATCAGATCACAAAGGGTCAATTTTTCTAATATATAAAGAGCTTTAAGAAATCAATGGTATTATCAATAACACTATAGAAAAGTGGTCAAAGATATGAACAGATTGTGTACCGAAACACATGAGAGGTTATGTGAGATTAAGAAAAGTGGCAAAAGTTACAGTATGGTACTATTTTTCACCAATGAAATTAGTGATAACATTTTGTTGATAAAGCTTAGGAAAATAGGTTCTCCCACACAATGTTGGCAGAAATGGAGGGAATTTGGCAATATTTATAAAAACTAGAAACATATGTATCTTTTTACTCAACGATTTATTCTGTGCAAAGTATCATGTAAAAAGTTAATCATGGTGGGGACAAGATGGCATCCTAATAGACCCCACGAGATCTCTCTTCAACAGAAATTTAGAGAAACTCAGTGAAACAGATACAAAAAGTGATCCTGGAATTATAAGCATCTTAATGAGAAGTACTAGATTGAGTGAAGACAGGAATGGGAGCAAGGTATGTGACAGAGAGGAAAAAAAAAAATAAAAGGCCAATTGGCCCAAAGAGACGCCATTACAGACACAAAGGAGGATGAAGATGAAAAAGAAAGAAAGAAACCTCATGGAACCAACAGGCACCAAAGACATAGGGTAGACAGATTGGGAGGATTTCAAGGTGACTAAAGACACACACATAAGGGTGATGATCGCATAGGGAAATGGTTAGACTGCCCTTAGCTTAAGCTGCCACAGAGTCAAGAGAGAAAAGGAAAGGGAAGAAAAACTCTCTCCGAATAAACCAAACCCCAAATTGGACCCACAGCTCTGGGCTTGAGTCCAACTCTTAGCAACCTTTTTTGGCATGAAGTGGAATACCTTGTGGGGTCTCAGGGTTTGTGGATGTTTGCAGACAAGAACTACCCTTTCTCCTGTGGGGTACCTGTTGGGTTTGAACTGCAGACTTTTGACTTATGGCTGAACACCACCCTCAGCAAACCACTCCAAAAAGACCCAGGGGCTGCAGCTGTCCTTCTCCCATGCCTGCAACACTGGCTGATCTGTGACACACACACAGACACACACACACAAACAGGTTTTAGCCTTCTCTACTGGAGGTGACTTCTTGCACCAATCTCCTTTCACCTACATGGGTGCACACTCTGGTAGATGACCAGATTCTGCCACAACTGCCTGTTCCCAAGGCTGCAGCTGATCATAACTAGAAAAGTCTCTTCTCAATTACATGATGCTCCCTTTAATTTTCTACTTTTCTTTTACCCAATTTTTATTCCTTTCTCTCTGATTATTTGCCCCTCTACATCTTTTCATTTTTACCCAACCTTCATCCCGCTCACCTCTCCACTTTTTGGTTTCTTCTCTTTTCCTTATATTCTTTTTCTTTTTTCCCTATTTCTTATCTTCTGTATTTATTCTATCTTTTCCTCTATCCCTTCTCTTCTTCTTCTCCTTGATTTTCTTTTTTTCCTGCTTCATCCAAATTGGAGGTACGTATCAACTCTCCACTAGTCAGCCATATCTACTACATTGACCACCTCACCCAACAGACAATACCAACAGCTCTTGCACCACAAGATCAATGACAGATGATGGAAAACACATGCTCATCCCAACTGCAACTCCCCATGACAAACAGGGACTTGTATCCACATTTCCACCAGTTACTCCACCAACACAATGAA